GCCGCCGAAGGGTCCGCCGGAGCGCGTCAGGCGTCCAGGGGCGGGTGAGCCGGCGCCGGCGCCGCCAACTTCACCACTGGCAGCCGCGGGCGGAGCGGCGTTGGTCGCCTGGGTCGGTGTGCCCGGGCGCGGTCCGCCCACGACTCCGCCGATTCCGGAGCCGGCGCGCTGTACGAGCGGCGAGGCCGGATTCGAACTCGCGGCACCGCCACCGGCCGGGGCCGGGGTCGCAGTGGTGGCGGGAGAGCCGGGGCCGGGGCGAGCCTGGGGCGGAGGGCGCGAGGGCGGGCCGCCGCTGGCGTTGATGTGAACCAGCGGAATTTCGCCCATGCTGCGCGAGAATTTCGAAGACTTGAGGGCCTCGGCGGGGGCAGCCGACACCGGCGACTTGGCGGGTTCGGGCGTGGAGGGCCGCTCGGGCGAGGCCGCCGCCGTCGGTCCCGGGCTGGGCAGCGGCTTGCGGTAGGTGGGCACCTCCTCCGAAGACGAGACCTGCGAGACGAGGCTCCCCGCCGCCGAGTACCCCGACAGCGAGCGCTGGCCCCTGAACACACCAACATATAAATATAAATATAAATATAAATTAATACGACATACACGATCACACCACACGACACACATGACACACACGACACACGACACACACGACACACACACGAAAGGCGTACTTGAGAGGCGTGGTAGCGGCGCCTTGGGAAGAGGAAGAGTAGGCGGAGGAGCGGCCGCTCCGCTTGGCCTCCTGAAGGCGCAGGTAGATGAGCTTCCCGTCGGCGGCGTTGCCCGCCAGCTTCTCCATGTGGGCCTCGCCCAGGAGGCTGAACGACTTGCCGTTGAACTGCTTGAAGTTGTCCCGATAGGCGCCCATCCCGATGCTGTCCAGGAACTCCACGACGCCGTCTGACGTCCAATTTTCGGGCGAAACGGCGGCTCGTCGGCCGACTCCGAATCCGAGACCTGCGCACAGAACCCTCAGTCTCAGCCCTCTCGACGCGTGTCGTGTGTGTCGTGTCGTGTCGTTGGTCGTGTCGTTGGTCGTGTCGTTGGTCGTGTCGTGTCGTGTCGTGTCGTGCGTGTCATGCGTGTGTACCTCAGGCAGGGTGTCGGGAGGATTGGGGAACTGTTCGAGCAGCTCGGAGAGGGTTTGGATGAGGAGGCCCATGTCCTTCGCACCGCTTCCATTATCTGCACAGACCAGACACACACACACACACACACACAGGACGGGACTTGGGTGAGTTCATCTGCGATGATGGGGACTAAACTATGAATGTCAGACGGATGGGTTGCGAGAGGGCGGCGCACCGGCCTGGAAGCCCACGCTCGGGGTGCGCTTCTTGAAGACGAGCTTGAACATGGGGTCGTCCGCATGCGCCGTCATCACGTCGGTCAAACTCATCGCCGGTTCCAAGTCACGCAGCTCTGCGTCGTCGTGTGTCGTCGCGTTATGGGCGCCTTGTGAGTGCCGTGCGCGTCAAGCGCTCAACGCATGCGATTGGGGCGTACGGGTCTTGTCCTTGTACTCGAAGATGCCGTAGTTGGAGGTGTCGACGAGGGGCTGCTTCTTCTTCATGGCGTCGATCAGGGCCTGCACGTCGCACGGCACCACGATCGGCAGAGTCTTCATGGTCATGTCCTCCAGGAACACCCGCATCACCCTCTGCTCGTAACAACAGAGCGAAGAAACGATGAGAACTCCAGATGCGTGCGTGCGTGTGCGTGTGCGGTGGAGCGTGTGCGTGCGGTGCGTGTGTGCGGTGTGGTGAGCACCTTGGTGCCCACTTCCATGACGGTGCTGGCCTTCCTCGCCTCCTCGCCGCCTATGAACTTGCCACGGGGCGTCGCACTAAAACTGCTCCGATCACCGGGCGGTTTCTGGTCGCACACGCAACGTGAGACTTGACCAAAACGCACGACACGACACACACAACACGACACACGGCACGACACGCACACGCAGCCAATAGGTCGCGCAGGGCATTACCTGCCACAGGGAATCGCCGGCGCCGGCGCCGCGGGGAGACTTGGATTCGTCCTTGCGCGGTGAGACCGAGGGACTGGTGACGGCGGCAGCGGCGGGCGCGAGGTTGCTCCGCCCGGCGGAAGACGAGGGCGAGGGCAGCGGCGACGAGGGGCCGGCGGGCGATGACGACGACGAAGCGGCCGGCGGCGACGCCACCGACTCGGCCACGATCGCCTGCGCGCGCGGGTCGACCGGGCGCCTCTGTGCGTTGCGCAAAGCAAGCGTCAGTTGAACCCGCGCATGCCGCTGGGGAGAAAGACGAGGAATGCCAAGCACGTACGGCCTTGCGCGCGGGCGGTCGCCGTCCGGCCGGTCCCGCAGCCACACGCGTCGCCGTGAGCTGTTCTCCAAATCGCACACACACACAACCGCACACGTGAGTCGACAAAAAAGAAAACGCACCACACGCGCGCGAGTGTGCCACACACGTACGTGCTCGAGCTTGGGTCCGTCGGGCTCGACGTTGTGGATGGTCTCGAGCACGGAGGCGCCTTCCTTGGTGACCGACTCGCTGCCGAGCGGCTTGGGCCTGTAGGGCGCGTCGGGCACGAACCCGCCGCCCTGGCCGCTGGGCACGTAGGACGACTGGAAGCGGCGGCCCTTGCTCGTCGACGAGGCGGAGGGCGGCGAGGATGAGAGATGGGCCGCGGCGCCGGACGAAGATGAACCGCTCCCGGAGGGGATGTAGGTGGATTGGATCTTGCGCTTCATGCTGCGGAAGGTGGCGCCCACGCTCTTTTCCTTCTTCTCCTTCTTTTCCTTCTTCCTTCTTCTTGTCCTTCTTCTCCTTCTTTTCGCTCGGGTCCTTTTCCTTCTTCTCCTTCTTCTCCTTCATCGTCTTCATCTTGACTTTTGTTTTCGATCTTGCTTCTTAATACTTTTTTGTTATACAAGTATGTACGTTGTTGTTTTTTTTTTTGAATCGAGATACCCCGAAGCTTGAGGTGGTCACCCTTGTCCTCTTCTTCGTGTTTGTGTTTCCTTGCGTTGTGGTT